GGGCGGGCGGGCGGGGGAGGGGGCCGGGCCGCCGCAGCTGCAGCGCCCGGGACGGCCGCGGCTCCGGGGCCGGTGCAGCTGCAGGGCCGGGGGAGGGGGAGGGCGCGGCGCCCGGTTTGCGGTTGCCGGGAGGCCCCGGGGGCCGGCGGCGGTGGCGGCGGCGGGGGAGCGGTCGCCGCGCCGCTTCTTGCGACTTTTCTTTTGTTGTTGCCGCGACCCGGCTCTGTTTTCTCGGCCGCTGTGGAAGGTGTTTGCCCGCTGCACCGGCTCCCTGCCCTGCGCCTCCTTCCCCGCGGCTTCGCCCTTCCTCTTTCCCCGAGTGCTTTATGCACGGCGAACTGCGCGAAGATTTGCATCTCTTCCCACCCCACCCCGCGACCCCCAAACCTCAAACACACCCGGGGCACCCTGCCCCCACCTCTGAAAAACAAAACCCCAGACCTCCCGGAACCTCCGTGGGTCCGCGGAGGCGGTGGACGGGTTGATCTGTGGAGTGGATGTCTTCGGGCCATTGCGGTTCTTGGGGCTCATTAAACTGTCACTCACCCCCCCCACCGCCACCCCACTGGGTAAACGGGGTGATTAATGTCGGATATAGTGGAATGGGGCGAGGGCATCTGTGGGAAAGAGGGTGTGTGTGCGCGGCAGGGAAGTAAATGTGTCTGCACAGAGTGCCTCCCGAATTATGTTCGGAATTGTCATTTCACCGCGAAGTTAGAGAAAAGTTAGGATTGTGACTCGCGAGCGAGGGCAGGGCAGAGTTGAGGTTTTGTTCTCCAGCTCTCTGCCTCTGTTTCCCAAGGCGAACCGAAGTCGTCGTCGCCCGGGTGGGGACGCTTGCGCCTCAGGCCCCAACTTCTTCCTGCTACTCCCCAACCTCTCAAGAGTCTGTGGAGATGGGGTCTGACATTCAGAGATGTCGCATCACCTTGCGGGGCACCCAGCGGCCCAGCCCCGGTTACATTAACATTTCATCAGCCATTAGAAAAGATCCACAAACCCCAGCCAAAAAAAGTTCCCAAAGTCTACACCTGGCTTCCCGCCCCTCCTGGTGATCACAGCCCCATCCCCCAAAGCGATAGAGACCAAGGGCAAGACAAAGTGACCGCTTTTCTGAGCAGAAAGACTAGATTTGTGGTCAAGCAGTCCTTCTGAGTGACTGCAGCAGGTTGTGTCCGTTTATTAATTTGCCTCATTGAACTGAAATACTTTCCAGGATTTCAGAAGTGCAGTTTCAGTTTGTTGATGCTGAGAATGGAAATTTGCGTTAGCTGTGGCAGTGTGAAATATGTTCCTGGGAGGTAGTTGCAGATAAGTTGCTAAGTAAGAGTGAAATAATAAGGTGAGCCACGCTAAAGTAATAGTTCTTAATAAGTCTGCCAACATTTCGGAGATATCTACCATTATCTCCGCAGGGGAAGGCAAAAAAAAAAAAAAAAAAAAAAAAAAAAACCATGCTGTAATAATGTTGAAATGGGACTAGAGATGTCAAATTGGTTGGTTTAAAAATATCGCTAAGCTGCCTTTGAAACTAGACGTTGGAGTCGAATAGAAGTGAACGTGGGTTTCCTGAATAGCACGGAGCCTGAGTGTGCTGTCATGTGTGAGCCGTCCACCAACTTGAGGCAGAAGCGTTGCGATTCCATAAATACAGTAGGACTCCATATGCTGAGTTTTTCAATTTCTTCTGTTAGAAAGTTTGGGGGGAAAGGAAGACTTTGAAGTATTTTGTTTATACTAACAGAAGAGAAAAGTTCTCCTAAGAAGAAGCTGGTGGCAGGAGTGGAGAGGAGTAGCATATGGCATTAAAGGAGCACAGCTGGAGGTAGCATTTCCATCTGAGCATGATGTCAGAGCAGCTGACAGCCTGCCATCCCTCAGCCTTTTATTCTAACACACAGACAGGGAGTCAGTGTGTGCGGCTCTGTGGTGGAGAAGGTATCTCATTCCTCTCCAACATCATCTCCACTTCGCATCTGTCTCTCCTAGTCTGCTTTTTTTCCACCGATGTAACAGACCTGGAGCCAGCAAGACTCCGAGGGAAGGACTTAATCAAGTTTATGTGTCCTAAAGGTAGGAGTAGCAAGAGATTAGATTGAGCATCTTTCTGTTTGGGTGTTTTATTTGATTTTTTTAAAATCACATTACTTTTCTAATCCACTTTATGAATAATATGTGAAATTGAGCATGAAGTGATGGTCTTACTGGAGTTGAAAGTCTTGGGCTTGCTTGGTTTAAATTTTTATTTCTTTTATTTGAGCAAGTAAATAACTTTAATACACAGAAGTATTTCAAGTTTTCAGATGGTAAGAAGGGCTTTGGAATATGGCTTTTGGAGATCACTTTGGATTAAGATGCCTTTTGTTCACTGCTGTTTAGATTCCCTTTGCTTGACGGGGGCAGAAATAGTAAACTGTCTGGAATCCAGCTTTCAAACTTACACGAGGAGATTATTCTGGTTAAGAAGCTAGGTTGTTGTGTAATTAATTCCACTGTGAAACTTTAGTCTTCAAAACATTCGGCAAGCATTACTGAAAGCAGCATACAGCTGTAGTGCTTTTGAAACCGGAGGGTTTTTGTTATTGGGGTTTTTTTTGTTTTTTTTTTTTTTGGTTTTGTTTTGCTTTTTGTTTTTTAAGAAGGAAAAAAAAAAGAAGAAGAAAGAGAACTTTTGTCCCTAGGAGAATAGTTTGACCAGTTTCCTCATTTCTCTTTCAAATATATATTTAAGAGATCTTTTATTTCAGCATAACAATAATTATTTGCAGGAGTTTTTGTGTTAGCGACTAATTTAGAACTTGTAGATTTGAGCTGCCTGAATTGGCCAGACAGCTGTAATCGCACTCCTCTATTCTTAATCTCTTTATCTGGGCAGCAGCTGCCATATGGCCACAGTCAGCTGGATCAGATGTTTATAAGCTTCCTTCTTCGTCCCTCTCTGTCCTCTCAGCCTCCTAATTTGATCACGGCTACCTTGTGAGCTGCCCTCCAATCTTTATTTTTAGCCCTCTCAAGGATTAGGATTGATGTTAGCTGTGGAGCACTTAAAGTGATTGTATTGTAAATCTTGGTGTATTCTGTTGGTCGTGTCTTTCAGGAGGGATCTGGGTGAGGATGGGAGCCTCACTGTCTAAGCGCAGTGTGGAAAAGGGGAGAAGTCATTTCTGAATATTAACTTCATCTCCATCCCAGATGCACTTGCTGAGATAGTTGGCGGGGGCCCTGCTTCTGGTCCCAGGATGGGGAGATGGGCTCTGCTTATCTTAAAGGAGTTTTAGCCACTACAGTTGGATTCTGACCCCATCTTTCCCTTCCCTCCTTTCACCACCTCCCTTGCCAGAGAACATGGCAAAGATGCATGAAAGAATAGAAGCTACTGGGAAAACAAAACATACCAAGTTAGTATTGAAACAGTGTTTTCTGTTAAATACCTAAGGCAGCGCCAAGGAGGAAAAGTTTTTGGTTTTCTTTTTGTTTGTTTTCTGTTTTTGTTTTTTTTTTCTAGAAAGGCTTTTAAAAATACTAGATATTGAACCTATAAAGCTTTTGCACCTATTTTATAGTGGTAAAAGTTTTATTAATTTTAATGTGGAGTTTGTTTTGCCCTGTAGCAGATCAGAGTTTAGATGAAAATTTTCAGAGTTAACAGCCTCTCTGGTTGCTAATATTGTTGAAGTAGAGGTTCTACAAAGAAACAGAACTCCCCCCCCCCCCATTCATTTAAAAAATGTTTGGATTTGTTCAGAGTAAAGATGATCTTTCCCATCTGTCGGTACAGTTCCGTCTGATCTCCTGCATGTGCAGCACCTGCAAATCTTACGGCACCAACATCTGTTCTTATACACAGGGCTTTTGTTGTTGTAACACTCTGACTTTAAAAGTAAGTTGTTTGCTGATTTCTGGACTAATTATGCAATTTCATTTTTTTCCCCCTCAATTCAGCCAAATGTGTGTGTGTGTTCGGTCTGTTCTTTCTAAGTAGTCAGGTACGAAAAGTGATAAAATAAAAAGAATGGTTGGACAAGTTTTTTTGAGTCTTCCAGAATTTGTGTGGGACTGAGTTCTTTCCTTCTGAAGTTAAGTGGTCTTGTAGGTCTTGTGGGATGCCATTTGATAAGTAGTCAGTTAAATTTCTTCTGGAAGAGGTCCGAGTTCTTGTTATCAGTAATAGGCTGCAGCTAAAGGAAGGCTTTAAACTTGACCAGGAGTTCTGAAAGGGCTGAGTGAGTCCTTGGCAAGTGCGTTTAGGTCGCATGTGTGACTTGGGAGTCCTTGGGGTGTGAGCCTGACTTAAAACTCAGAGATGTGTAACTCTCCACCACAGAGGCAGATAGAGGCTAAAGTCCTGACCAGGCTCTAACAAGAAACTCGTCTTTCCCCAGGTTATGAAGACAGTATGGAGTTTCCAGACCACAGCAGACATTTGCTGCAGTGTCTGAGCGAGCAGAGGCACCAGGGCTTTCTTTGTGACTGCACTGTTCTGGTGGGAGATGCCCAGTTCCGGGCGCACCGAGCTGTACTGGCTTCGTGCAGCATGTATTTCCACCTCTTTTACAAGGACCAGCTGGACAAAAGAGACATTGTTCATCTGAACAGCGACATTGTGACAGCCCCCGCTTTCGCTCTCCTGCTTGAATTCATGTACGAAGGGAAACTCCAGTTCAAAGACTTGCCCATTGAGGACGTGCTAGCAGCTGCCAGTTATCTCCACATGTATGACATTGTCAAAGTCTGCAAAAAGAAGCTGAAAGAGAAAGCCACCACAGAGGCAGACAGCACCAAAAAAGAAGAAGATGCTTCAAGTTGTTCGGACAAAGTTGAGAGCCTCTCAGACGGCAGCAGCCACATGGCAGGTGACCTGCCCAGTGATGAAGATGAAGGCGAAGATGAGAAACTGAACATTCTACCTAGCAAAAGGGACTTGGCAGCTGAGCCTGGGAACATGTGGATGCGATTGCCCTCAGACTCAGCAGGCATCCCCCAGGCTGGCGGAGAGGCCGAGCCACACGCCACAGCAGCTGGAAAAACAGTAGCCAGCCCCTGCAGCTCAACAGAGTCTTTGTCCCAGAGGTCTGTCACCTCCGTGAGGGATTCGGCAGATGTTGACTGTGTGCTGGACCTGTCTGTCAAGTCCAGCCTTTCAGGAGTTGAAAATCTGAACAGCTCTTATTTCTCTTCACAGGACGTGCTGAGAAGCAACCTGGTGCAGGTGAAGGTGGAGAAAGAGGCGTCCTGTGATGAGAGTGATGTTGGCACTAATGACTATGACATGGAACATAGCACTGTGAAAGAGAGTGTGAGCACTAACAACAGGGTACAGTATGAGCCGGCCCACCTGGCTCCTCTGAGGGAGGACTCGGTCTTGAGGGAGCTGGATCGGGAGGACAAAGCCAGCGACGATGAGATGATGACCCCAGAGAGCGAGCGGGTCCAGGTGGAGGGGGGCATGGAGAGCAGTCTGCTTCCCTATGTCTCCAACATCCTGAGCCCCGCGGGCCAGATCTTCATGTGCCCCCTGTGCAACAAAGTCTTCCCCAGCCCCCACATCCTGCAGATCCACCTGAGCACGCACTTCCGCGAGCAGGATGGCATCCGCAGCAAGCCTGCCGCCGATGTCAACGTGCCCACGTGCTCCCTGTGTGGGAAGACTTTCTCCTGCATGTACACCCTCAAGCGCCACGAGAGGACTCACTCGGGGGAGAAGCCCTACACGTGCACCCAGTGCGGCAAGAGTTTCCAGTACTCGCACAACCTGAGCCGGCACGCCGTGGTGCACACCCGCGAGAAGCCCCATGCCTGCAAGTGGTGCGAGCGCAGGTTCACGCAGTCCGGAGACCTGTACAGACACATCCGCAAGTTCCACTGTGAGTTGGTGAACTCCTTGTCGGTCAAAAGCGAAGCACTGAGCTTGCCCACTGTCAGAGACTGGACCTTAGAAGATAGCTCTCAAGAACTTTGGAAATAATTTTATATATATATATAAATAATATATATATATATATATATATACATATATATACATAGATCTCTATATAGTTGTGGTACGGTCTAAAAGCAGTCTTGTTTCCTGGAACTGAAAAGTTGGGATCTTAACTTGTTTTTGCACTTTAGAATAATAGCATGAGAATCTCACTAATTTAGCATTCTGATAAAAGAAACTTTAGAGCAAGTCAGAAGTAGAGAGGTGTCTTTCCTTTGAGGGGTAGGCCAAGTTAGCCAATAAAACCTTCTCAACAAATGGTTCTGTCACAAAATGCTTTCCTATGGCTTAATTTTGTAAACACTGCATTGTCTTGAGCGCTTTCCTTGTGCCTCACATTGTTTTGTTTTGTTTTCAAAGTAGAAATTCCCTCCAGTTTTATTAGCCTCTTTATATGTCTCAAATTGCATGAATTTTTTCTGGCTGTTGGAAACCTGAATGCTTTTAGACCCAAATGGAAAATTTCTGAAATGCTGGATTATCTATTTTTAAACAAGCAGTTGACTTAAAACTTTCTGTGGCAACTTCTGGTTTTACGATGGTCCCCAGTGAGAGAAATCTGACAGTACACTGGGTCACTGGGACTGTCTCTGTGAAGGTTTGCTTGAGATGAAAAAGGATATTGCAGCTTCAGCAGTGTTGAACTGTGTGTTTAAAATGTGAATTACTGTTCTTGTATACTGTAATTGATTACATGGGCTGGGGGGGTGTCAGAGAACTGGACAGGTTGTGTTGATGCTCTTCTTAGTTGAGTCTTGAAAAGTAAATATTAACGCTACAGAAATGCATGAGTTTCAATATATTTTTTGTCTTTGTTTGCATTGTATAACTTTAACGAGTGAGTTTAAAATTATTTAATTTCTTTAGAAAATAGCACCATTTGGGAAAAAAACTGGTGTTACGAAGAACGTAAATGCACTGTTTTTATTTTTATTTTATATAATTTAAATTGACTTTTCCCACTGTCTTTAAGTTGAAACTGTTAAGCTGAATAAAAACTTAAGCTGCAAGTTGATAACTTTGCTACATTACAAGGAACATATAAATGTTTACAAACGGCTTAAAGATCTGCATGTGCGGTGTGCATTTATAACTTGTAATTGCACAGAACCCATGCCAAGCTCAGAGCTGAGGTGTACACACGTACCCAGCTGAGCGTTTTTAGAATAACTACTGCACAAATTGACAATAGGTCATAGGTCATTCTCTCTCTCTCTCTCTCCTTTTTGCTTCCCTTTTCTTTTTCTCCCCTATTTCCTTTCCTTCCCCCTACCCCCTAACTCATGAAAAGATTCTATGGACTGAAAAAGCCCCAGGCTGAAAGGACTGGACTGCCTTGATTGACGTGGGGAAGGGGTTGGTGGACTGTGTGTGTCGGCAGCAGAGGCTGCAGCCCACCGTGCGGTTTTAACGACCAGCGCGCAGGGCAGAAGCATTTTGCACAGTGTTTGTTTTCCTGTCTTGCACTTACAAATAAGGTCTATGGGAGTAGCATGGAAAACGTTTGCTGTTTTTCCCTTTTTCTTTTTTAATTGCTTTTGTTTAAAATTTGATCGCCTTAACTACTGTAAACATAGCCTATTTTTGTGCTTAAGATACTGAGTGGAAAACTCCATTGTGTGTTGCTGGACTGTTTTGGAAATATTTGGTCAAATGTATGTTAATTTGGCTGTAATGGCATTTAAAGCAAACAAACAAACAAACAAACAAAAAAAAGCTGTGAAAATGGCCTTGGAGCATTATCTTTAGTTACTTGAAGAGTTTCTAGTTTTTTTTTTTTTAATACAGTTTATGTTAAAATAATCTTTATTAATTTAGAGAAGACAATCAATGTCTGTGAAAGAACGGACTTTTTGGATTTTTTTTTTTTTGTGGTCATTGTGAGTGATTGCTTTTTCTTTTTCTTAGTTTCACATTCTTCCTTTGTTCTAAATCTTAGACTGACATCTAGCTTTGACAATCATAGTATGTTTTATTTCCTGAGGGGGAATAACTTATAATGCTGTTTAGTTTTGTACTATTGGTGTGTTGGTGAATTTTTAAACTGTGTGCTAACTGCAATAAATTATATGAACTGAGAATTCCCTGTGTGTGTTTTGTATTGTGGTCGCAAAAGCAGATTTTGAAGTTTGTGTAGTCCACGGCATCTTCGTTTTAGTATCAGTTTTATTCAGTTTCTAAAATTATTAGAATGCTTTAGGGCCGCCCAAATGGAAATGTGCACATTCTTATCATTTAAGAAGACACTCAGTGCACATTTAAAAATACGACCCATTTCTCCAGTGTAGATCAAGACTGTTGAGGCAATTCCCTAGAAAATTGTGAACACAAAGAACTTCAGGTGGCAAAGGTAGGTTTTTCATAACAAGCCACAGAAGTACTAACCCATACACGATGCAAATCACTTTCCATGCATGATTTTATCCCAAGTTGATTGGTGGAATCCATTCTCCCATGTTCTGGCTTAAGTGGAAAATTGGAGGAGACCGGATGTCTTAATTTGGAAGGCTGCTTGGCTAATGAGTGCAAGTCTAGGCAATTGAATTAGCAGGCACTCGGTTGTTCAAGATTAGCTGTGTACGTCCGTTTTTCTAACCAGAACTCAAAAGCTCTTAGTTTGAGGTCTAATTTTAAAACATTTAAGTAACCTACCTTTAGAATTACGCCCTCCCCTTCATTGCCCCTGCCCCGTTTCTTGCCTGTCTTGTTGGGTATGTGTCTGGTAAGGGCTGGTTGAGAACACACGGATGTGGGACTTTGGAGGAATTGTCACACTGGCCCTAGATTGCAGTGGGCCCAGGTCCTGAAGTTGTATAAACACAAAAATCCTTAACTGTCCATAATTCCCAGTCCTAAAGACAAATATGGGAATAATAATTTCGCATTCCTACTGTCAGATGCACCACTACACCAAAAAGGCCCACGCTAAGGTTAATATTTTACAGGAGATCCAGAGTGTGAAACACACCATTTAGAAGGTCTTTGATGGCTTTGGCTAGAAATCCACAATGGTTTTTATCGTAATGTACGGTAAAGATTTCCAGTTTGGAGTGATAACGTTCAGTTTTTTAACTGAGAAATTAATGTAACCAACACAACTCATAATTGGTTTTAAACAACTGAACGTTTCACACGAAGGGGAAATTTTCATTTGGCCTCTACACCATTCCGTGAGCAGTTAGCACGGGAGAGAGGAGAGGCGCGCTTCCTAAAGCTTCCTGAAGGTGCTGAAGGCTGGCCGGCGGTCCCGCTGACTGTCTTCATTTTCAGTGAACGCCACCTCGGCAGGCTCCACAGGACACACTGCGCAGCAGCATTCTATGATTCGGAAATCACTTCCTGAAATACCGTACAACAGGCATATCGTGTTATTACTCAAAGGGTCACGTTTGGCACGTGACACACAAGAATCCGTTGTTTATTTGCTGCATTGAAGAAAGTTGTCGTGTTTTCCAGTTGGAAACCTGTAAAATCAGGCCCTCCTTTGACATCTGGCCCATCCCGAAATCCATGCTGAAAATATGGTTTCACTTACTTTTGAAAACATCTGCTTCTTTCAGGTAATCAATTAGGCCCTGGATTGCTGTGGGCCCAGCATTGTGTGCTAGGTATACCCTGGGGAATAGCCGACAAGTGGAAGACACTAAGGATGCCGGTTGGGGATTTCCTCCCTAGTTAATTATGCTATCGGATTAATAGGTGAATCAAGTAGAGTTTGCCCTGAACAGACTTCACATGGGTCTCTAAAAACAGGGTTTTGGAAGGTGAGAAAAAGGCAGACACTATATTAAAATTACATATGAACTCACATTAAATATAAGTATTGAAAGTGCTTATTTTCCTAAGTAAATTTTTGTTTTGAACTAGCTGTTGCTTCCTCTAACCTCGAACGTCCTGGTTTTACAGATGAAACACAGAAAATGCGCTAAAGAAAAACAAACTCGAGAAACCCTATTTTTAAAAATTTAGATACAAATTTTTAAAAACCTCTTAAGATCTCAAAATTTCCTTCACTGTTTGCCTATAAAGTTTTAAATCTTTGAGTTCTGACCTAATGAAAAGAAGTCGAAACATACCTGTGGGTAGAAAGTTTTTAGATTTAGATACTGATCTATATTTTGATTATTTACTACAATGTTTGAAATTGCTGATAAGGCATACTGGTTGTGGTAAGCGTGAATTTTGAAGTCCGGGACAGAAGAGCTGTGTCATTTTCATTAAAGTCTCCTGCCATTAAAATACTGGAGATAATGTCATCTTAACAATAAAGCAGTGCTTTTATTTTTTTAAAAGCAAATGGCTTTTAGGAATTTCGTTTTGGCAAGGGTCCAACTTTATTACACTGACAGGATTTTGTCCCTTATGTTAGAATTTTTAAATTTAATTTAATTTTACCTTTTTGCCTGCAGAATCCTGGCAAAATATCTGTGATCCCTTGGTCTAGACATGCAGTCACTTCTTTGACTTCAAGTCAACTTAACTCCATCAGAGATTTTCTGCTTCTAGCCCTCCCCACCCTGCTCAGCTTAGCTCAGTCTTACAGAGTAACAGCAGAGGGGCCATGTCTTAGGGATGACAGTGAGAGCTTCCAGAAATTCATTTTAATAGATACTTCAGAAATTAGGCTTTTTGTATTTTTGCAAACCAATACATTTAAAGTAAAAATTCTCACTTATTTTTTGGGATTTCTTTATGGAAGAAACAGGACTCCAAATGTGCAACACTGTGAAGAGATGGCCATGTAGAAATGAATCAGTGAATAGCAGTGGTTTGAACAATTTTTTTTTCTTTAAAAATCCAAATACTTTGGCGTGCCTCTGCTTATGCTAAATAAATTGCAATGAATTCTCCCAGGTAATTCAGATTTAAAGAACAGTTTTACTTTTTTTTTTTTTTTTTTTGACATTCAAGCCCTTGAAAGAGCTTTATTTATTTAATTTTTTGTCTTGGGGGTTAAGGAAAGGAATGAAGTATCCAGTTATCTTTTCTAACTCTATTCTGATATTTACTAATTTTATTTCAAGCTTTATGTGGTATGATACATTTCTTTGGTTGAAAAGATTCCTTTAAAAGTATCTTTTAAAACCAAAGATTGTCTTGTATTTGTGGGCTCTTATTCCCCCAATAAGCCATGTCCTTTTCTAAGCTTTGGGGATGGATTTGCAATTAGGCTCTGGGAAGCCATGTCTCTTTTGGGAAGGAGAAGAAAAAAACAACAGAACCCATTTGGCTTCAGAATGTAGTGCACTGAGGGACAGTTTCCTGAGGGTGTGCAAGGCCGTCTTGACCGTGTGACACCCAGAGAATCCATTCCTGGGGACTACAGGCAGACAGCTTGTTATGGTCTCCGCAGTTAATCAGTAAATCAGGTGGCTTTTGTTAAGTGTCAGTGTGCATGCTTAATGGGACTCTATAGGAATGTTGAAAAGTCATTGTCCCAAATATTCAAGTTTGTCAAAAGTGTACTTGTAGTCCATATGAACTGGAGTATCTAAGACTGGACTTTAATATCAGTAAGCATGTGCAAATAGATTAAATCTGTCTTAATATAGAAAATGTGTAGATGGCATTGAACTTGAAAGACTAGAATGACTTTATATGTCATGCCAGACCAGAGCTAACTTTTGGTGTGTGACAGAATTTAGAAGAAATGTATCAATAATGTAGGAATATATTTACTCAAACCTATAAAAAATATGTGCATTTCATTGAAAAAAAAACATACTTAATACAGGTCAGCTTACATCTGAAAGGATTAGTAATGACTAACATTTTGAGTTTCTTATTATCTGAGATGTGCCTTGATCAAAGTAAAAGCATTTAAACTTTTCTTTCGACTCTCTTAAAGACTGTTTTAAGAGATTGAAAGGATGCATGTGCTTTTCTGTAGACCTTCTCTTTGAAACTCCAGCACAGTCATGAGCGGCTTGGTAGTACTGAAACATCATTTCATGTTTACTAGACAGCACTGCCTCCTCAGCAGGTCGACTTGGACAGTTTTGGGGAAAGCACAGTAGTGCAATAATTAAAATCCGGAAGGACAGTATCTGTGGTCGTTGAGCTGGAGCTACCAGGTAGTGACATCTATGTATATTTTTTTTGGGGGGGGACCCCATTTTCCAACTTACAACAGTTCTCCGTCACTTAAAATCCTTCTCAAATAGAATAAATTAGAGCAAAACCAACCAACCAACCAACCAACCAACCAAACAAACAAAAACCCAAACCAAAAGCCACCATATCTCAAGAAAGTCAGACTTGTAAAGTTATTTCTGTAGCTACCTGGCTTTGAGAAAGGAGGTGCTTGATTCAGTCGGTGGCCGGAGGGAGAAATGACACAATTTACAGCCAGCGAACTGTCATGGGACAGGAGACTCTTACGTAAAATTTAAGATTTCTTCCGAATCCTCAAGATTTTTCCAGTGAATAATCTAAAAGAAACTGATGTGTGCTGGGTGTTTCCTTAGGTCTGACTGCTGCTGAGGCACAAGCTGAAATTCTCACCTTGTACTCTGCTTTCTAGTTTTCTCTGTGTCCTTTTCTTTACCACAAGAGGGTAAAGTTTATTCATCAAGTGATTTTTTACACCACGGCACAAGTGAGCTTTGCAGCCAGATTGTTTTCATGTGTTTCTCCCATTTTGGGGGGCGGGGAAGGAAACAAAATTGAAATGAAAACCCCAGTTTGGTTTGGCCTATTTACCGCTCTGAGTACTAGCTAGCTAAGTGTTAATACACCCAGACAGGGGGCCTGAGCCTGCAGATAAAGGAACTGAGACATTTCTGAGGCTCCTTACAGTAAATGACATCAAACTGGAAGAAAACCTTCAGCGAAAGGCAAAGAAATTAGAGGAGATGTTGGGGCACAAAGAACTTTTGCTTTTCATAGTAAGTGTGAAGTCTAGAAAAATGTGGCTGTTTCTCACGTTCTATTTATATGTTATTTTACTTGAGGGATGCCTCGAAGTGGTGCTAGAACCACTTCTGTGCAAGGGGGGGAGGGAGGGGAGGTTTGTCATCATTTGTTCAGTTTGCTATGTAAAGGTGCTTATCTTGCAGTAAAATAATACTTCAGTGAGAACATAACAGGCGTTCTGTAGGCTTGACCAGTATGGAAGGGTTTTAAATGATTGATAAGGTGTTGTTTTAAAAGTCAGTCAAGTAGCACCCTCAAAGGATGAGGCTATCAGTCCTCGGGTTTTTAGTCACCAGTACATATATTTATTTTTCAATCTCTCCAAAAATAACAACAGTCAAGCCCAAGGGGGGAAAATCAAAACTGCATCTCAAATCTGAATATTTGCATTCTGGACTGATTGTCTTTAAAATAATAAATGAGCTTTGTTGTTCAAATTGTGAAAAATCTAAGGGCTAGGATGGCTCAGAAATTCTCCATCATGTTTCGCTAACAGTCCCTCCTCAAGGTTGCCGTCATGTGCGTTCCCCGAGTAGGGACTAACCTAGAAGCACCATGAACATCTGAACTGGCTGGCATAGAGGTGAGGTGAGAACAGGCCTAGGGCAAGGTGGGGGGCAGAGGAGACTCTTTGCAAACATCTCACACATCCCCCAGACCTTGGGTAGGTACCATTTTAAAGACGGGCCTCTTCTCTCCTTAGCGGCACACAATGGTCAGATTCCTTACTTTAGTTTCATATTTGATCAAGACTGAGTCTGAAATCTCTATCCTGGTTCTACCTCTGTGATCCAGTTCTCACTATAACCTCCGTCACAGTTACCATACCCATTGTCTGCTCCAAACAGTTATTACTGGAATCTAAATTGGAACACTGTTTTTTTTTTTTTTTTTCTTCCTCCCCTTTGATCCAGTCATCAACTCCAAACAAGCAGGGTACCTACTCTCTGATGCTGCCTGAGCGATTTTGGCCTCCTCTCTTTCACTCAAGAACTGAAAACCAACAAGCACCCTCCCAACTCGCACATTCCCTTCACACTCCCAGCTACGAAAGGGCTGCTTAGGTTCCCATAAAGCGTGTTATTTGTTCAGCCACCATGAGGCAGTGCTCAGTGCGGGCAGGGACAGGCAGGGGCCAGCCAGCTGTCAGTGCTGCTGGACTCCGGGAGGAGGAGAAGAAGTGTGGCCAGGTGCTGAGGTGCCAGCCTTTGGGGGCCCCCACATTCCTCTGCCGCCCAACTGGGAGACGCTGTGTTTCCCCTCACTCACCCCGTTTTCTTAGAACATTTCTCACCACTCTCACCAGAACCTAGTGGAAGATGCTTCATGGGAAAGTCAGGAAGACATATCTGTGCCACACAGGGGGGTCCCCACTCCGCCACATTTGTTCCTTCATTTCTAAGAACAGAATGACAATACCCTATCACTTCTTCCTTGACACAATGCAACATGAATATACATTCACATCATTAAGGTCTCAGAGGAAAGATGCTATGTAAATTTTAAGGGACAACACTGCTATAAAAATAATTGGTTTTTACACCAAGATGAAAGTTTGGTTTTTTTTTTTGTTGTTGTTGTTGTTTTGTTTTCTTCTTCTTCTATCACAAAGCCTTTCCAGCAATATGGATCCAAAATTTAAATTCAGCGAGCACTAATAGTTTCAACTTTATTTTAGTTTTGCATCGTGCCCTCATGGAAAGCAATTTCTACATGCTGATAGAAAGGGTCACACTTGTGAAAAGCTCACACACTCTCGGGTGGGCTTGTGGGTGTGAGCACGTGTGTACACGTCTCCTCTCACTGATGTCACACTCTTTGGTCCCTTCTGACAACTTTCTCTGTGTCTGTTTTGATAGATTCAGGGTGCCACACCCAAATCATTTCTTTTGGAGATGGTAAAGGGAAGATTTCATTGACTTCTCAGACAAGAGCTGCCATATCCCCTTAGTGCTGCGGAAATCAAGATCAAAAAGCCGTGATTGCTGTTCAGCGGAGAATCGTTAAGTACAAAACCCAGTATGATGACTATACAGGGAGGCGACGGACAAGTGCCCAACTCTCGAGTAACCAGGAGAAGGTGGCATATGTCAAGTCAGAGGCTGGAGCATCGAAGTGTCTCTCGTCTTGTCACAGATGTGCCCTACAGATGTGTTCTGATGCTATGGTGTCATGAAAACGGGTGCGGGTTCGTCCACTGGGAGGATAATGCATCTGGGTGGAGCCCGAAGAGCAGCGGAATACAACGGCGCTGTGCTTAGCTGGACACTTTTACACGATATGATCCAACTGAGTGTGTGTGTGTGTGTGTGTGTGTGTGTGTGTGTGTGTGTGTGTGTACTGGGGCCAAGTCGCTATTCAGTCTGTCCACTTTCCTCTTTGATGCCATGCCACTTCACAAAAGCAGTTGGGCCACAGTCATCTATTTTTTTTTTTCTTTTCCTCCTTGTTATCATGATACAATCTTCCTTTTTCAATCTTATCATTTTCATCAGTTCTTGGAAAAGGCAATGAGCATAACAATACATGTTTGGTAAAAACAGTTCTTTGTGGCTATATTTAATTATTTGGTTTAAAAAAAAAAAGAAAAAAAAAAGAAAACAACAACGACAACCAAAAACAAACAAGCACCTCCCTCCCCCTGGGGGAGAAAAAAACAACCTTGCCTCTGCTTGATACCATAGACAAGAGTCCAGAGGACATTAACTGCTCCGTTGCACACATTGGAGGGAGGGCTTGCTTCGGGCTCTGTCTCCCTAATAGACTGGCGATTCTGTAAAAGGTTTTGGAAGGTTTTGTTTAACCATTTCTGCATGTGTTTTTAATGAGCTCATGATGATTTGTAACAAAGGCCAGGTTGTGGGGTTTGCAGCCTTTTCTGGGACCTGATCCCTTCCTGCTGACCTGCAGAGTAGGCACCTGTGCTCCTTGCCTGGCTCACCTATGGGAGTCAAGGTGGTGGGGCCATCTCCGGGCCTGTCTTTCTGCCAGGGATGAATCATGCAGTAGGCAGAGCGGAAGAACTCCCTTTGTTGACAGCTTTCCATCTGGACTTTGGATACGGCCGGCCGTTCATGGTGAGCCCGGGTTAGCTGGAAAGGACTGCTCCAGTCAGCTCCTCCATGAAGGCCTGGGGCAGTGTAAAACACCAGCAAAGGAACGGCCCAGCATTTCCGCTGCAAAGCAGAGAGGCGTCCCTCCCAGGTCCAGGCACCCAGGTTTGTGAATGTGTACGACTCCCGCTTTGACAAGTGGGTATTTAATAATCAATAGGATCATTTACAGCCTCATGCAGATAATCTGACCGGAGTACACCTGAATAAATACATCGAGCTCGGGAGGCTGAGCGCTAACCCCGTGGAGCTTAATAATTAAAATAAACAGGGCGACTGAGATGAATCCCGGTTTTGTCATGTATAAATGTAAGGTGCTCCATACAGGATGGTGACTGTGATTCATACAGGACTATGATGGAAAGAGAATACGTTTTCCATAGCTATTTAAGAAAACAAAGAGAGATTATCTTAGTCATGGGGTATAGTTATGTGATATATTGTACCATCCAGTCTGATTCTGGGCCAGTACAGATTTTTTTTTTTCTGTCTTTCTTTCTGTCTTTTTTTTTTTTTTTTTTTGTGAAAGATTACTTCTTGGCAAACTAGATATGCAAACGCCAGAATACAGTAAAACCACATTTAATTGGACCTACTTGCCAACTCCTTGAACACAGCTTGGATTATCCCACTGGAGGCTGCTTCTGTTAAAAGCTGGGGGAGGAGGAAGTGGCACACTGACAGGGCCTCAGATAATTTTTTTTTTCTTCACTCGAAGTACAATTATGCAATGAGCCAAGTTTGGAAGTATTTTACTATGTTTAATAATTATTATTAAAGATATTGTAAAACATATGCATTTGTTAAGTGGAATGTAATGGGAGTAAAAAATCATGTCATGGATTTCACTTTGGATTTATTTTTCTATTTTGTGTTTTATTTGACAGCCTTCCAACTTGAGTCCAGCCCAAAGCCTGCACTCTAATACATATCATACTTGATATTAAAGTGAGAAGAGGGGTAATTTATAGGAGCTGCATGAGAACTGTTTTCTTCTCTGGGCCAGCCTGTATGGAATCGCCACCTCTATTCACCGTCCACAGTGGGACGAGAGGGAGAGAGGAAGCCTTTCCATTCTTCCAGCAACAGTTCTGAAAAACCACACGTCCTGGGCATGCCCGCTGTTCAAAAGAAGGTGGAACAGAGAGCAGGGTGGCTATCTCTTTGTGTGTGCGAATCTTGGAGGAAGGAGGGTAGGACGCGCGATAATGGGACTTCGCGCTAAATTCCCATCCCAACCTCTCACCTGGGGAGCTGGCGTTGGTCTGCTGCACATCTTGAGCTGAAACAAAATTGTCTTATGTGTACAGCGTCTTTTCCAAAGAGGGAGAGATGCCCCTGAAATCCCACTTCTTGACATTGAGCAGAGGTGCCATCTCTAATGATTAGCGAGACACTGTGGGCTGTTTGTGCCGATCTCCACCTGCGCTGTGAAATCCCCATGATTTTTCTCACATTCCCACTCAAGCTGCCGAGCAACTGGGCCCTCTCTCTTCTACGCGTGGCTGTGTCAGTGGGACTTCGGTGCGCCATCCACCGGGTTGTTTTCTCGCTCCTCGCCACGACTAGTGATGGGGTGTGGGAGGAGGCAGGCAGGTCACCGGAGGGCAGGGTCCCTCCACCCACCACGTACCCCCTTCAGTGGGCTGCCTTTCCTTCCGTTCGGGGTGAAATCCTCCGCTCTGCTTTCTTAGGTACCCTTTGAATGTATCCCCGGGGGCTTCTGGAAGCGTCCTGCAGCTCTGCTGTCGCGTGGTAGGACTGCGGCAGTGTGAGGCTCGCATGTGCAAAGGGGGGTGTGAGGACAGCTGGACTGCATCCCTGAAAGCTGAGCTCCCGAGGCATGCCTTTCACAGCCCAGCAGCACCAGCCCCCAGGGTCCTGCAACTTTCTCTAGACATCCGGAGCTCTGCCTTGGGCAGGACTGACCAGGAACTGGAGGAAGAGGGCTTGGGAGCTTTCCGGAAAAGGTCTTGCTTTTAAACACTGGAAACCTGGAGGGAGGAAGGTGACGACGAGAAATCTGCCCTCTTGTTCTCTGCTAAGTCGTGTCGCCTTGAACAAGAGACCTGCTCGTTTCATCTTTAAAATAAACCTTTTGAGCCAGCTGCCTCTGAGGTTCTTTCCAGCTCCAAGTTCTTGGGTATCTTTTACCTATTTAGCTGAAATGCTGACTGGACTTGAACAGGGAAATATTTTCCAATTAGAGGAAAAATGGTGACTAATATACCAGTACGGTTCTGAGGCGCCTGTGATCAAAGGCATGCTTGTTCCGATAAGGACGGGCAGGGGTGGGGCTGGGGAGGGCTTCTCCTGGCCCGTGGGACTTTAATATCTTACTGTACTTAGGTTTACAATGTCAACCATGTGCTGAGCATATGCTTTCTTGTCTGTGGTCAAATCCAGTGGGTTTGGGGTTAATTTTTATTTTTTAACCGGCGAAAAAACCTTAGCGATTCTAAACAAATATACCTCAAGAACTTACTTCGTGGTTTGTTTTATTTTGTTGACACTCTTAAGAAAGCCATGGTGTACGTTTTGTTGTTGGTTATTTTAACGATCAAAGAGCACATAGAGATTTCGCCTAGCTAAGTATGCTCCCTTGTAGTTCTGCAAAGGGATTTTCTGTTTCAGTTTCTCCACAGAATTTTCTTTGGACAGCTCTCAGCCACCTTGTATCAGGTCCTTGTGTATGAAAAGGTTCATTCTGATCTTTAAGCAGCTGCCAAAGGAAAGCACACGAAAGACTACTGCTCCTCGAATATGGCTCGTGGGACTTAGAGCAGTGAAAAGGATTCCTATAGGTCTAGAGGTCAGAGGCCACATACATTGGATAGATTATCAAAAGAGACCATACTGTTTTTGCAGATAGACTTTAAAATTAGAGAAGAGCAGATTCTCATCCCTCTACTCTCTTTCTCTCATTGTATGTGAGTGTGTGTGTGTGTGTGTGTGTGTGTGTGTGTGTGTGTGTGAGACACGGGTGTGCGTGCATGTGGATCAAGCTTGGTGTTGTTTCTCAGAAGCCATCCACTTCTTTTTTACTTCTTTTGTTCTTTCACGACAGGCTCTCCTGGAACTCATGATGTAACCCATGCTGGCTGCCCTCACACCTAAAGCGATTGATCTGCCTCAGTCTTCCAAGTGCTGAGATCACTGGGATGAGCCACCACAGCCCATTCTCATTTGGTTTTGAGGCACCATCTCTTCTAAGGAGCAAGGGCTTGCTGCTTAGCCTGCTGGCTTCAGGGAGCCTTCTGCTGTCTCCACCTTCTTAGGGATGGAAGGGCTTGCCACTATGCTGGACTTCCTGCGTGGATTCTGGGGCACGTAGTTCACTCACTGAGCCATCTCTCCAACTCCAGCCAGACTCTAAAAACTTGTTAATGAAGAATCTCATGACCCACACATATTTCCAGTGTATTCTTAGTCCACTGCAGGTGGAAGAAAATTCTACCAGAATTTTCTGTGCAAAAACCATCCAGGAGAAGGAGTGCAGACTAATTTGTGTGGGAGTCTAATTAAAATATTTTCATTTTTCTCTGTTCCATTCTGAAGTCACAAAGTGAAATGATGGAGAAATTCAAGCTTGACACGGGAGCAAGATCGAAATAGAGCTTGTGCTCTCATATTAGTTAAGACTCTCAGGATTGCAAAAGAGAGAAATCCAACTTCAGTTAGTGGAAGCCAAAAGAGAATTTTTTGTCATAAGGCTACGTGGATTCGGTGGGATCCAAAGGGGGAATATGGCTGGGCCTGGGGAGCAGCTAGACCACGCGGCTCGGAGGCTGTCTGGAGTCTCTCTCCTTCTCTTGCCTCTGCTTCTCTTTCTGGTGATTGGCATTTTCCATCCCTCAGTCCACATGGTGGAACAGGGCTGCCAAATGCTTCTGCATTTACATGTCTTCATTTTCAGACACTCAGAGGGAGACTGACTTCTTTTTGTCAGTTGCAGTTCCCAAATCTTGGGGGAGGGCTCTGATTGGTCATCTTGGATCAGGTGCCCGCTTCTCCACCAATGGCCAGGTCCAAGAGTGCGTCCCATTGTGCCAACAGGCAGACTCCTGTGGTGCCATATGCATGTTGAGGGGCCTGCGTGTTCAGGGGGCTGGGGGCAGAGGAATAGTTCCCAGGAGCCAGGGACACGGTTCCCAGAAATGAGGCCGACAAAACAATAGGGGCCCATCGTGCTTCTGGACTGAATTTAAAGGGAAACTATGAAAAGCTATTTATTTGGAAGTGAGAATAATATGTTCTCCCTTGCGGTGTAACAGCAGTTAATTTCTAACCCACGGTCAAGCACTAAGTGAAATAATGTATGTTTGTTAAAGCACTGTGAAAAATTAATTTTCGTGTTAGCTCCCTACCTTGGTGTCTCTGGTGTCCTTACCTGGCTCATTCTGCAGAGCCCAACTGCAAATATGGCTCTCCTTTCCTGAATACTGACCCGTGTGCCTTGTGGGCCCAGCAGTGAGTAATCAGACCGTCGGAGCTGAGAACACAGAAGACACATCCTCTCTACTTATTTAGGGCCTACAAATATGGTTCTGTATTCACCAAGAGCTCTGCCCTGGCACAGGAGAGAAAGGTGTATTCTCCACCTAGGGACGCAGGAACCCATGGAGGGGCGAGGAGTACTGATGTGAGTTAACGTGAATGAAGGCCTCGGAGTCCAAGTGCACATTGACCACCAGCCAGGGTGTTAGGTACTGAGCTCTGTTGCTCGTGAGTCAATCCTCTTGTGGCTGCCTGCCTCCTGGAAAGAAAGACCAAGCCTGGGTGAGCCCTGCTGTTTACTGCCCAGGAAAGAGGTCATGCAAACTAGTTTAATGGAAGACAGACACAGGCTGTGCCAGTCCCTAGATGCTCTGAGTCTGTCTTAGGGTTTCTATTACTGTGAAGAGACACCATGGCTCTTATAAAGAAAACATTTACTTGGGGCTGGCTTATGGTTCAGAGGTTTAGCCCATTAAGTCATGGTGAGAAGCATGGCAGGAGGAAGACAGACATGGTGCTGGAGAGGTAGGTGAGAGGTCTACATCCAGATTGCAGACGGCAGAAGAGAGCACCACACTAGGCTTGAGCGTCTGAGGTCTCAAAGCCCACCCCCAGTGACACACTTCCTCCAATAAGGCCACACCCCTCCAACAAGGCCACACCTCCTAACAGTGCCACTCCTTCCGAGCCTGGGGGGGCCATTTTCATTCAACCTACCACAGGTCCTGTCTGTAAAGATGCAAAAGGTGAGCCCTGAAGGTTAAGGTGGAGAAGCGTTGACTCAGAGCACTACAAACCTGAAGTCTGGCTGCTGTGTTAAAACAGAAATGTCAACAGTTCTCTTTGAATGAGAACTGTCGAGTTGTCACTGTCCAGATAATGGAAGCATTGTCTCATCAGAGATGCTTACAGTCACAGGTGACAGAAAATTGACTCAGCCTGAGATCAGAAAAGAACACAATTTATTATAGCTGAAGAGACCAGGGGTGATGATGGCCTCAACAGTAACCACATATTGAGACTTAGAGGGTGGATTCCTCTTATTTTCTCCTCTTTCCCCCACATTTTTTGGCTTTATTTCCATAATTCCAGCTGAAATAGTCTTTCTTCGTAGGGTAAGGTAATCAAACACGGAAAAAGATAGTCATATCCCACTCCTGACCCCAACAGGAAGTGGACGGCACCCTCTAAATGTCTGTGTTTAACTCCCGAGGGAGGAGCTAGCTAGACTTCCCTTAGACAGCGTGCTCCTTGGTGACCTGGGAAGGGGGTGTCTGCTTAGGCCAGCTCGGGTCTCATATAGAAGCCTTGGTTCAGGTCTTCCAGAGGTGGAAGTAGAGCTAGAAAGGTCTGAAGAACAGAACAGAGGATATTCTACGAAGTCACTCTGAAGTCCTGTCCAAGGAAAGAAACAGGTACAGGAGGATAGGAAAAGGAGGGGTGTAGTAGGAAGCATGGGCATTTTGCTCTGCTTTGGGTCAGGGTCTCCTGTACCCCATTCTGACCTCAAACTCTTTATGCAGCAGAGCTCTGATCCTCCTACTCTGTCTCTCTCTGGTATTGGAATTACAGGCATGCATCACCAGGCCAGTCTATTTCATGAAGGGCTGGAGTGGAACCCAGGGCTTTGTGTGGGCAAGGAAACTCTCCTCTGACTGAGCGTCAAGCCCCAGCACTTTGGAGAAATCTCTAGAGCAAGTGTTTTCTTAAGTGGCTACTGTACGCGTGGCTCTGGAAACACAGACATCCCTACCATTATGACATCATTTACTGGGTAACGAAATTAACAAACAAAAATTGCCATGAACCCTCAAGAATGTTCTGCACAATAGAAAGCGAAGTAGCAGATAGGACCACACAGCAAGTGGGAGCCAGCCTGGAAGATGTGACAGAAGTTTTTCTAAGGAAGGGACAGGAGGACAGGGATTAGCCAGCGGTGAACAGGTGGAAGAGCATGCTGGGTGTGTGCGTGAAGAACCTGGAGACCCAAGTACCTTGAGGCCTTGCTAATCAGCCTAGTGGGGGCACTGTGGAGAGGGTATTTGAGTGTCCCAGAGCAAATGCCCACAAACTCAGTGACTGAAAACACGTTGTCTTGTAGTACTAGATTGCAACAAAACAAAACAAAAACCAAAGACAAACAAAACTTCCACAAACAAACAAACAAAACCCTTCCAAAATTAAGATGTTGGAACAGCCGTGCTCCCTCTTCGGCCTCGGTTGGGGAAACTTGCCTTGACTCTTTACGTCTAGCTCCTGATGGTACCAGGCATTCTTCTGGCTGCAGTCCCCCTCCACCTTCATCGCAGTGTGGCCACCTGCCCTACGTCTGGGTCTCTCCCGCTGCTTCTTCTGAGAACACCAGTCATTGGTGTCAAGGCTCCCTGGATAATCCAGGGTGATGCGACAGCATCCTAGGGTTTGTTACATCTGCAAAGACCCCTTTTCTAAGGAGGGCCACATTCACGGGGTGTGGGTGCTGGGATGAATATGTATCCTTTAGTAAACTACCATCCAACACATGACAGAGGGCCGGACAGTGAGTGTGTGCTGGGTGCTGGATGGGCTCAGCTTTTAGGGTCTCTGGAGCAAGGAAAGTGGATTCATTT